TGGGTTTGGGGTGGGGGTTGGAGATAGGAAGGTCTCATGTTTTTCCGATAGTGTAAAGACTTTCTTTTTCTTGTGCTACCATGATTTTAGTTTTCTGTCTTATATCTTCTGAATGTCAAGAAAAAGGAGAACAGAAAAGCAGTCTTTGTTACATCTGTGAATGGTATTGTTGGACAAAATGTTTGTAGTTCAGAAAGGATTTTAGTGTGAGGAGTGCTGAAACCCATTTCTGTGTAACTACATATCGCTGTGAGAAAGCAACCTTTATTCTCCTGTAACTTAGAGTGAGCTACCACTGTGAGACACATGAAAAATTATTCAGCCCTCATATCTTATTAAACTGAACTACTTTTGTTGCTCCTTGATTTTTAGAGCAGCTGATTCTTTAAAAGTTACAGGTAGTTATGTTCCCAGAATAATAAAAGTACCCAGAATGCACAGCCATAAAACATCATTGTCCTCTTGTCAGGGATAAAACAAGATAAGAGTCAGAGAAAAGTCAAACCAAGTGTGTAGCATCCTGTTTGCTAGACTCATGCTTTATCATGCTGCAAGAAGACGGATTACAAAGGCGGTAAGGATTAGATACATGGGGTGTTCCTACCCTTAAAAACAGACTCTCAGCCTGCAAATGTAAGATAGAAATTTTTTTGTGATGAGGGTGGTCAAACACTGGAACACGTTGCCCAGAGCAATGGTAGATGCCCCATCCCTGGAAACATTCAAGATCGGGTTGGATGGGGCTCGGAGCAACCTGATGTAGTTGAAGATGTCCCTGCTCATTGCAGGGGAAGTAGAACTAGATGACCTTTAAAGGTCCTTTCCAACCAAAATCATTCTATGATTCTAATAGGAAAAGGAATAAGATCCAAACTGATTTCTGAGCTGGAGAGAGCTACTCTCCAGCTAAGTATGCAATTGCATTAGCGTATGGAGTCAGACTGATATACTCATCACACACAACATGTACATGTAAGTATATGTTCAAAGCCTTCCTCTCAAGATCTAGCAAGTTTCTCAAAGCCCTTCTTTCTCATTAGCTTCATTAAAGAGTAAGTAGTAAGGGTGATCCATGCAAAACATATTCCCCAAGGGCACAGGTCTCTAAAGACTATATTCAATATTTGAAAACTGTTCTGTCAGAAAATTCCCAGCTCTCTCTGGTTTTAATGTTTTGATAGTTATAGTGGCTGGTTCAAAAGCACATCAATCATTAGAAATAAATCCCACTGCGTATGAACAGTAATCTGCAACATGAAACTATCTGTGACTTGGATTTTTTAAAATAGCCTGTTGTGCTGCTCATTTCAATTAAATCCACAGAAGATACATCAGATGTAATGATATAGCTCATGCAAAATACCTGCACTAAATGCACTGAAATGCATGGAGTCATTATTTGAGTGAATGCACTATCAGATTTAGAGTTGATTCACTTATGACGCTTACTCGACTGTAAATCTTCAGGCAGACATTTCTTCTCTTTAGTATTTGCAAGAGCTAGGCACTGTGGAACTTCTTACCGCAGTGAGATCTACCACAATGCATGTATTCTTTGCTACTGTGACTAGAACTATTACATGAACATACGTATTTTACCCTATAACATCCAGACGTTCTTTATCCTTTTTTCTCTTCTAACTCTTACACTGAACCATGAGAGAAAGATGAAACTTACAGCTTGGGCACTTGATAAGCACTGAAAAAGTATGTATTTAAATGCCAGACATTGTTACACTTTCTGTGGATGAGGCTCAGCTAACCACTTAACTGTCATGAGTTGGATTTAAAAAAATGATAAGGCTTCAAGAAAGGATTTTTTATATTTAATGGAGTTTTCACACAGAATACAGTTTGTTAAAGGTATTACTTGCATTGATATCAGTTTTGAAAATCCCGTTAGGAAATATATGCATCTCTAGGAACAAAAATAGAATCACAGAATTATAGAATAATTAGGGTTTGAAAAGACTGTCCAACTGTCAACCCAACACCACCATGCTGTCGCGTTAAAGGGGGGGTAAGGGGAGTCTGATAAGCGGTAAAAGGAGAGCCCTCCTGTTGAGTCACGAGGTTCAGAGAAGACCCCCTTGCTTTCTAAACTCTCTCTCAGAGGAGAGTCTAGGTGCAGCTGGATCAACTCCTTGTACCATACTTGGTCAACGGTTTAGGTCTAAGGGGTTAAGTGTGTAACCACTTCTCAGATTCAACTTGCCTGTCAGAGCCCCTCCAAGGACTTTCACTGAAACAGTTTTGCAAAGTTGAAACAATAGGTAATTTATTCAAGTGACAGGTATCACAGATTCAGAATTGCTGTTGATAAATTCACTGTCCACAAAAGGTGAGCTCAATGTAATAGTTTAGCACTTTAGTTAACAATGTGTTCCCGGGGATACGTCTGACAAAGTCAGAGG